AGAACTTCATTTCTCACAAATACCTTCAATAAACCAGCTATAATATTTTAATTCTAAGGGAATCATTTGCACACTTTCCAAACAATAAAACCTTTTTGCCAGCTGAAATCTTATCTGGCACTAACCCTACTGAAATGTGTACTTGGGGAAGATGAAGGTAGGAGCAGGCAGCCAAAGGTCAACCCTCCACACCACTTAAGCCTCCTCTCTGATGCATCTAACAAGATCTCCAGAGCATGCAAAACGGTCCTATGTAAAAACAACCAGCATTTTACTATATATTTATATGCTAAAATAGAATAAACCAGGATCAAATCAAACACTTTAGATTCTTTCTGATAAAATGTATTAGCTAAATTGGCCCTCCCTGGTGGCGCAGGGGGTTAAAGCACAGCACTGAGAAGCTAAAGCCACTTCTGCATGAGTTCGATCCCTGCCTGCCCCGGAGGTGACCACATAGTGGACCTGCCCGCTGCTCCCCTCAGCAGTGTACTTTATCGATCTGTCTAATCTACACCCCACTCTGTCTCTGGTGAATCCTCTCACCATCCGCCATCTCTGGCCTGTACCCCAGTTCTGTATGAATAAAATTTTTTTTAAAAATGTATTAGCTAAATTGGAAAATATTAATCACATTTTTTAATATCATAAGCAAATACTGAAGTTAGTGATAACTGGACCTATATGGCTATGAAAAACTGAAGTAGTAGGGGTGTAGGTGATATATCCAATATGGCACACAAGATAAAGCATGAAATTAAGTGTTGTCTACTTCCTAACACTCATCATCACATTTATAAACACCTAGGATATGAATTAGTATAGGAAATCACATAATCCTAAATCCTAATCGCCCGAGGGAGCCTATGTCAAGTCCCATTTCTTTCTCTACTGGGTCTGTGCTGATTACTGCATTGGGGCTCATTTCTTTAGTTTGTGAATTTCTACAGGAATTATTTGCTTAATTGATTAATCAATTGGGCTAACTCCCTCATGTCATTAAATTAATACTTCTTTTAAACTTTTTAGGTTATTTAACTTACTCACTGTTTATGTCCTAGCCCCTACTGTGAAATTAACCTTCTTCAAACAAGAAATTCTATTTTTTTTTTTTTTGGCTTGGTGATGGAAAGAAAAAAGATACAATGAGGAAGTCCTGGAAGAGTTTAGGGTTTAAAAACAGTTCCAGAACTTAATTTCTATTAAGTAAATTACTCTTTGATGAACCCCAACTAGTACTTATTATGTTTATATTGTGATCATTTAAACAAAGCCTAGTATAAGTTAAACTCAAATAACACTGAAGGACTACAGGCCTTTGAGAGTGGTTGTTTGTTTTACCTCACAGAAAGCCTTACCAATTAACAATGCAAAAAATTTAGGCTGGAGGAAATGATTTTGCTCACTCCTTAGTCTACTTCTATGTCATTTAAACAATATAGTAGAGTATTAATTTTTTAATTGAGCTTTTACTAATCTTGACAAAACCTTAACACAACATTAATGCTTATTAAAAAGCAAAGACGGCCCTCCCTGGTGGCATAGCTGGTTAAAGCACAGCACAAAGAAGCTTAAGCCACTTCCGCATGAGTTCAATCCTGCCTGACATGGAGGTGACCACATGGCACAGCAAACCTCTCCTGACTTGCCCGCTGCTCCCCTCAGCAGTGTACTTCACCGATCTGCCTGTTCTGCTCCCCACTCTGTCTCTGGTGAATCCTCTCACCCTCCGCATCTCTGGCCTATACCCCAGTTCTGTACGACTAAATAAAAAAAATCTTAAAAAAAAAAAAAAAGCAAAGAGACAGGCAGTGTAGTGTAAATGCAGAATGCAGATTATGGAAAGGATACAACTTAAATCCTATAGCACATTGCATTTTTTAAAGATGACCACAATATCCACCCTCTTTTTTGCTCTTCTTCAATGTTAGCTAGCCCCCATCAAGAAGTAGAGCTCATTTCTTCAGTTCCTTTAATTCTGGGGAAAGTGTAAGTGTTTTAATAAACAGAACATGACAAAGCAACACTGCAGCATTTTTGGAAACAGACCTTAGCTAGTTTTACAGATTCCATTTCTCAAGAGCCAATCATCATGTAAAAAGTGTGACCATCCTGAAGAGCCACCATCCTAAAAGAGGTCCTGGAAAATGAGCTGAGTGGTAGAAAGGAACATGGAGAAAGAACTAAGGAACCCCAAGAGACCAAACAAGTCCTTTGGAAGTGGGTCCTACAACCGAACTAACCCTGGTAGTGCTACATGGATAACAGACAGACTATAAAGTGAACGCTTCTTAAATGCCTAATCCACGAAAGTTTTAAGCCTCTAAATTTTGATGCAGTTACTAGTAGATAACCAAAGCACCATCAACAATGAACCAAGAAAATAATGTGTTTTCTTACTAAAAAGGCCACTACACCTCCCAAATTCTGGAGAAACATTGTATTAGTTCTTATCATCAGTACAGAACAAACTTGCCAGGTATAAGTTCATTTGTTACCTTTTGAAATGTCTACCAGAGAATATCCAACCTTTATTATAGCACTTAATATAGAGCTCTCACCAAAACAACACTCATGCCTTCTTACATAAAAGATTACCAATTGTTAGAACCACTTGTACCAGTCCATGATGAGATGGTTCTTATATTTACTCAAGTGAATTTTCAAAGTACATTTATTTGTCTAATCAGTAAAACATACTGTGCCATAGAAACACAATTTGTGTTCCTAAAGAAGAATCTACTTTTTTCCAACCTGTTGACAGATTGGCAAATCTGCTAATGGAACAAATATTTAGTTAACAAAAGAATGCAGAAAATGTATTTAAATATATCCAAAACAAAAATAGGTCCCTTCAAAGGCGAGATGTCCAGAAAGAGGGCTCTCAACAGGAACCAAATCAGCCACTTGATCTTCTTAGATTTCCCACCTCCAAACAGTAAGAAATAACTTCTGTTATTTATGTCACCCCTTTCCCCCCACCAAGAAGAGAGATGGCAGATTCAAAGTCAAGGAAGCCATCAAAAGACTATTAGAATAATGTTAAAAGAACTCAAAAGACAAGTTAAATGGTGTACTTTTACTCAAATTGTATAAATTTAGCACTAATAAGGATAATATCTACAAGAGACTAAAGCACATTAAATATCTTTAAATACATGAATATAAATTATGCTAAAAAATAACTTAGTCACTTGGAGGATGCCAGAGAACCAATTCATTATTTTAAAAACTAGTAAATTTAAAAACAGAATCAAGTACTTATTCTGTTTTCATAATCAAGTTGTACCACAGGGCAATAAAATAGCTGATAATAAAAAATTTCTCTTTATAGATGTACTTCAAATAACAAATGAAGGAAAGATAGACTATCATCAATTTGCAATCCTAGTGAATTAATAGACCTACACAATGAGCAATAGTGCTAACCCTACAAGAAAAACTGAGCAGTAAGGTATTATATACCTCTTAGTTAAAGTTCATAACACCTACATGAAAAAAATGCCCCCACCTCAATAAAACCTGAACTCAGATCTGATCAAGCCTTATATTATATTAACAACTTACATATAATACATGAGCAGAGAAACTTTAAACCACAGTTGAAAGAAAGCAACTAGAAAAATCTAAACCATAGGAAATTCTATAGGTAAGCGAACTAGTTTCTTCATTAAGTCAATTGTAAAAGGGAAAACAGATGAAAAGGTGCCTAAGAAATAAAAGTAAAAAAGAGTATTAACTAACAACTGTAAACCAAGACATTCTACAGGGGAAGAGAAGGGAACAAAATCAAAACTGGGATGGGAAGAGCATATGGGACTATGATGATGGCACATGGGTGAAGTGGTGGTGGGAAGTCTACGGGGATTACAACTGAGATGAGAAATGTACAAAATGAAGAATAATGTAAAAAAAAACCATATATATATAAAAAAAACAAAAAAACCATATATATATATATACACACACACACAAAGAAATAAAAGAAACATAAGTAATGCAAACCAATTGGAAAATTTAGACTTTATTTGGTTCTTGATTCAGACCATTAAAAGTAACTTACAAAACAATCAGGAAACTGTGAAAACTGGAAAAATATTTAATATTAATGAATATTACTTTTTGGGTATAATAAAATTATGATTATATTTTAGAAAGAAGTCTTTATCTTTTGGAGATACATACTGATGCTTGTATAAAAGAAATATTAAGATAAAAGGTCTGTTTCAAAATATTCTGGGATGGAAACTAAAGAGACAAAACAAGATTAACTATAAATTGATGACTATTAAGGCTGGGGCATGAGTACACAGAGGTTCATTGTATCGGTCTCCATCTTGTATATATGTATGTACAAGTCCATATAATAAAAAGTTTTATTTAAAAGTTAAAAATAACAAAATTAATTCATTGTGGTTTTTTTTCTTTTCATTTGTTCTTTCCCTAAGTATACTTTTATATACTTTAGTCAACAGGATTAGCTATCAGAGGTTAGGAAATTTAGTACTAAAAGAAGCAAGGATAAGAACTGGAATATAAACCACATGTAATCATAGGAAAATAACTATTTTAGGTATATAATCAATGTATTATTTCCAACAAAATAATATTTTACCAAGATACCAAAATACACTCCCCCATTTATGTGTTCTCTCTCCTTCTACCCTTCATGTATACTCACCACTTTCCATCTTTCTTTGACTAGGATTCCAACACTGAGGATATCTGGCTGTTCTCCTCCTCCACTCATTGCAATTCACTGACGAGACAGAATGGCTACACAGGCATCCAGCTCCCAAGGGTGGTTTCCATTTAACCTAAAACAAACAACAACAAAAAAAACAGCAGCAGCATATTAGGGTTAATTCAACATTCCAGCACCAACTAGACTAAGAATCCTACCATTAATTAGGTTATTTTGTAGGGAAAGAGGTAAACACACACATACAAATAAAAGACAAAATCCCACACACTCAAATCCCAAAATTTTCTTAGCTCATATTTAAAAAGTACTTATTCCATTAGATATGCTAGATATTACAAGGATTTTTTCCCCCACAATACTACTTGTAATAATTTAAATTGCTAAAGGACAGGGCTAGCACAGTGTCAATGGCAGATAGGTCATTATCCTAAGTACAATATACTGCTAAAGAAAGAGTGGTACCTAATTTACAACAGTTTATAGTTTCATAGGTTGTAACTTACAGATTAAAACCAATGCTAATAACATTTTAATGACAGGTAATACACTTAAAAAATGTGTAAAAAATCAACATCCATAGAAAAAGTTGTGTTGATGAAACCCACAATGTATTCACATTACAAGAAAAAGATAATTGTATAGTATCAAAAAAAAATTACTCGGTTTTAAAAAAGTTTAAAGAAAAAGGAGATTAATAGAAAAATGAACAACATGCCTGTATAAACTAAAGATGCTGCAGAAAAAATACAGCCTAGGCCCTTCCTGGTGGTGCAGTGGGTTAAAGCACAGCACTAAGAATCTAAAGCACTAATGCATGAGTTAGATTCCCGCCTGCCTCGGAGGTGACCACATGGTGTGGCAGACCTCTCCTGACCTGCCCGCCTCTCCCCTCAGCAGTGTACTTCGTGGATCTGCCTGTTCTGTTTCCCACTCTGTCTCTGGTGAAGCCTCTCATCGCCCCTGAGCCTCTTGCCTGTACCCCAGTTCTGTATGCACAAATAAATAAATCTTTAAAAAAAAAAAATACAGCCTACAGGAGACCAAATCCATAATCTAATATTATAGAATAAAGTAAAGAAAAAGTTTTAAGACAACATAAATTGTAAATTAGAAAAGCTCTCATTAGACAACAGGAAGATAAAATAAGAAATCTGAGCAAACTCAGCAAAGGACCAATAATTAAGGAAAAAGAATTTAAGACTACCTAGAAGAGACACAAGAGAAGAAACCATACAAATAAGGGGAAAATAAACTTAAATTAAGAAATGAAAAAGAGCCCCCTATGAAGCTTTCTGCAGCCACTACAGCACAAGTTTGATCCCTGGCCAGAAAGATAACCCACATGATGCAGCAGACTGCTCCTCTCTCACATCCACTGCTCCCCTCAGCAGTGTATTTCAGTAGATCTGCCTGTTGTGTTCCCCACTCTGACACTGGTGAATCCTCTCACACGCCACACCTCTAGCCTGTACCCGAGTTCTTGTATGCATGAATAAACATTTTTAAAAGACAAGGACATGAAAAAGAAACTTTGAAAATGGGTAGGATACCCCAGTGAGAATGGCACATCTTAAAACAACTAGCAACAACAAATGTTGGCAAGGATGTGGAGAAAAAGGAACTCTCCTGCACTGCTGGTGGGAATGCAAACTAGTAAAACCACTATGGAAAATTGTTTGGAGGTTCCTCAAACTGCTAAATATGGAGCTTCCATCTGATCCAGCAATCCACTCCGAGGTATCTACCCAAAAGACACAAAAACACTGATTCAAAAAGATACTTGCACCCCCATGTGTATTGCTGCTTTATTTACAATTGGAAAGACATGGAAACAACCCAAATGCCCAAAAGTGGATGACAGGATTAAAAAGATGTGGTACATATACACAATGGAGTATTACTCAGCAACAACAACAAAAAGAAACACATGTCTTTTGCAGCAACATGGATGGAGCTGGAAAAGATTATACGTAGTGAAAAAAGCCAGAAAGAAAAGGAAAAATACCAGATGGTTTCGCTCATAGCAGGACTGTAACGGACCAGGTGAGAAAATAATGATAATGATGAACAGCTATATACCAGAGACATTTTGTGGAGGTGGAGTGGGAAATGGGATCAAAAACAGTGGGGGGAGGGAAATGCACTAGACTATGGTGATGACACATGGGTGATTTGGTGATGGAAAGACCAAGGGGATTGCAACTGAGATGGAAAAATGCACAAAATGATGTAAAAATAAACTATTATATTATATATATATATATATATTTAAAAAGGGGGGGGATGATAAAGGAGTCTCCATGGTGGTGCAGAGGTTAAGTCTTAGAAGCATGAAACTATCCACAGCCACTGCAGCACAAGCTCAATCCCCAACCAAGATGCTATCTCACATGGCACAACAGACTGCTCCCATCTCACCTGCTGTTCCCCTCAGATTTCAGTGCATATGTCTGTTCTGCTCCTCACTATGTCTCTGGTGAATCCTCTCCCCCTTCCCACCACACTCTAGGCCACAGCTCAGCTCTTATATACATAAATAAATAAAATAAATCTTTTCATTTTTACATTTTTTAAAGATTTATTTATTTATATATACAGAACTGGGGTACAGCCAGAGGTGCATGGGTAGCAAGAGGATCCACCAGAAACAGTGGGGAGCAGAACAGGCAGATCAGCAAAGTACACTGCTGAGGGGAGCAGTGAGTGAGGAAGAGAGTTCTGCTGTACCATGTGGATCACCTCTGGGAAGGGGATTAAACTCGCACTGAAGCCGCCATGACTCTGTTCTCAGCTTTGCAGTGCAGCACTCCAACCCACTGCACCACCAGGGAGAGCAGCAAAATAAGTCTTTTTTAAAAATCTGGTGATAAATAAAAGGCAATTACAATATAAAATACATATTACAGAATGACCCATTTCCCCACACTCCTTCTCCCCTCCCCCCAAGAGAAAACAAAGCACTGAAATAGAATACTGGCCATTATTAATTCAAGAAAATTTCCTGGGTAAAAAGTCTAAATCTGCATGTTGAATTGCTATATTGCATACCTGAGAAAATGACTCTCCAGGTCAATTATCAAGATACACTCTAGTAAAACTACTAGATTTTAAGGGGTGGGGGGGAAACACCAGTCATTTGTGTAAAAAGACCAAATTACTTAAGCAAAACAGACTGACGACAACATTGGCAACAACATTTTACACCAGTAGATAATGAACATATCTAAATATACAGGGAAATGGTGAGCTAGAGATGGTCTATGCTGCCAAATGAACTTTTACAGTTAAAGGAAACAGTGTAGAACACAGAATTCAAGGAATAGTGTTCCCAGGAACTGTCCCTAGGAATAAGAAGTGTTAGACAATCAAGAAATTATGGTAGGAGAGTTGGCCTGAAAAAGCCAAAAAGCAATGAAAATCCACTAGCAATTAGCATTCCTGCCTCCAGACTATGAACTCATTTTCCACTAAAAGAAATAAGGGCTCCTTGGAGAAATTAATTACTCCAGGTCAGGCATGTGACACATGCACTTAGGATAGCTTGTCAAATCAAAAAGCAAAAACATTGGCAAAACTACTACAGTTAGGTTAAAAAAAAAAAAAGAATTCTCAACCACCAAACATGAACAATTTGATTATATCAAAGAAAGGCAACTGCAATAATTGATCAGCAAGGGAGTTTTGACCTGTTCCATTTCAGACCTGGGCCAGTTCAGCCCTCCTTAGGCAACCTGGTGGTCCCCAGCTCCCGGGAGGTCACCATATTGATGCCGAACTTATTGCGGACACCTGATTGGCATAGCGCACTACAGCCCAGAACTCCTGGGCTCAAGCAATCCTCCAGTCTCAGCCTCCCGAGTAGCTGGGACTACAGGTGCGCGCAACCACGCCTGGCTCAACTGCAATAATTGAAAAATAGAGAAAACATAAAACTCATGAGTTCATAATGACACTCAAAAAAGAAAAAAATCAATTTTGCTTAATTCTGGAGATTGTTAGGGCACAAGACTATTGTGAGGATTGACAAGTAAGTAGAGTCAAACATTTATCCTGCCTTCCTCAAAGAGATGATGAGAGCAACTTTTACCTTAAGTCACAGCTAATAAATGCAGAAGATATAACAATTAGAAAAACATCAGTTTGCAATCCCTGACTAAATAATGTATCTCTGCAATGAACATCAATGTCTGCTAAACATATAAGATAAAGAGTAGATGGAGAACTTGAATATAGAAGGATCAGGTTGAACTAACTGATGAATCTTAGCATCACTAAAAAGCAAATCAGTGTAATGTTAAGTGATACAATGAAACAAATTTTTTCAATGACACCCACAAAGTCTCTTGCAGAAAACTAAACCTAAATCTAATCAAGCTTCTTAACTATTACTTTACAAAAATAAGGACCTAGAGACATAAAGTAAATATAAGCATAAGAATGAGCAAAATCTATGATGCAGGAGATAAAGAATAAAACAACTTACTTTTTCCCAACATATATTGTCATGGAAAATAAAGAGTGTATACTACAAATCAAAAGATGTACATTAACCTAAGGCAACAACTACCAAACAGAGAAAATGAGTATATATTGGTATGACATAATAAATAATTGATAGTTTTAGGAGGTGTAATAGTAGTGGTGTGGTTTAAAGCCTCCATCAGAGATACATAAATTACTACATAGTGATAAAAATGTTTGCCTTTAAAAAGGCACTTTATGGGGGAAAAATGTATGTATGGGGGTAGGGAAGGTAGGATAGTAGATAAGAATGACAGAATTTTGGGCCTCGCTGGTGGCCCAAAGGGTTAAGTCTCAGCACTATCAAGCTATCACCAGCCACTGTGACATAAATTCCATCCCTGGCCAGGGAGCTAACACACCTCTCCTGTCTAGCTTGCCACTCCCCTCAGCAGTTTATTTCAATAGTTCTGCTCCCCACTGTTCCCGGTGAGTCCTCTCAACACCTGCACCTCTCACCTATACCCCAATCCTTGTGTGCATAAATAAATAAAAATAAGTCTTTTTTTAAACTGACAGAATTTTTATTAATTTGCCTGTATGATGGGTATCAGATATAAATAATCAATTATTTCTAATTGTATGATGCAT